TGGGGTGCTCGCTCCTGCCCGTTGGGTCCATATGTGCACATGTGGACCCTTCCCCAGCCACCCAGTCCAGCCCTTCACTAGCGGAAGGGTTCATAACAGAGGTTATGGCCACCTTGGGAATTACTGATCTCCTAACCAGGCTTTCCTGGCTCTAAGGGAGTGGCTCCCACCTCCATCCACATCCATGGGACAGAAATGCATGAAGCATTACCCAGGATTGAGAAGAGAGGGTCTGAATTGGTGGATGGGAAGGGGGGGGGGGTCAGCTTCTCCCCTGCTGAGCAGGATTTCATCTCAAGCTGAATGCGAAGAGGCTCTGGAGTCAGGAGAAAGTGAAGCGCTTTCCCTAATCGAATCACACGCCAGTGTCACTTCTAAAGCTCTGCAAAGCAGAAAGGACTTGGGAGCCACTGAACCACAAACACCTCCTCCCTCCTCAGCTCCTCCACAGGCATCCTGCTTCTCTTCTCCATCTCTCACCCCTGAACACAGTTTGTGAGGGAGGCAGGGCAAGGGCTCAGAGATCCCACCTTGTGCTGTGTATCTTGTGCAGGGCCATCACACTAGGCATCCTATGGGCTCAAGGGTTTGGGGAGACCTATGTAGTGCTTCATGGACTTGGTCTTCATCTTGGGGATGTTCTGCCTTCTCTGGTCATTTCTCTGGCAAGGGTGTCTTCCTCCAAGCATGCACTGGGCATGCAGTCATGTCTTGCTAGTTCAGTTGGTCTTCTCCATCCTCAGCTTCCTTGAGGTTACTGCATCTTCTGCTGTGCCTTGTTCAGCCCCTTCATGAGTCCCTGCCAGCCCCCAAGCATGGGATGTGCAGTCTATAGCCACCCTGTTTGAAGACGAGGGGCAGGAGGACAGTGCCTTGCCTTCACTTCCCTGGCATAAGCTGAAGGGGTAACCTAAAGACCACAGGATGCCTTTCTAAGCGTGGGGTGGGAGAGCCTACAAAGCAGTGGAGGGAAGGGTCAGTGCTGGGTATTTCACCCTCAGAGACCACGGGAGCTGCTGGACATTTCTGTAAAAGCCAGATTTTGATGATGCATCAAGCACCAAGTACATCGCTGCCTCCAAGCATCCACATGGAGCTGTGCACAGAGTAAAATTAGCAGGTAGGCTGGCCAATGTTGAACCGAGAGGACAGGCTGGCTCCACTGAGGTGCCCACCAGCAACAGCCTACCCAGCAAAACACACTGGTCTGCCTGTTTTACAGGAAAACCTGCCCTCTCCTCCTCCAGCCCTTTTTCCGCCCTGGCTCTCCTCGTGTTATGGCAAGAAGCAAATTCTCCATCCTTTACATGCAGCAGCTGGGACTTCTCCGTGGCAGTAAAGAGCATCCTTGCAGCAGGTCTGTCAGCGGCAATTTCCGCAGCCTCCTTCAGGGCACCCAAAGCATACAGGTGAGGAAATTGTCAGCAGCAGGGAAGTTAAAAAGCAAACCACCACTAAACTCAGTGTTTACTTCATGCCGGGTCTCTTTTGGTAACAACAAGACCCCTTGAAAAATCTCCCCTTTAAAAAAGCAGGGGGATTTCAGCCCAGCAGGATTCCTGGAGGAGGGAAGTGGCTATTTGTGGAGTGAGAGGAGATGTGGCAGAAGGCAGCCGAGCCTCCTGCGGCAGCAGGACTGGCAGATTTCAGTGGCGGCTGCTTTCCCTGAGCTGAAAACATGCAATTTTCTGCATTTGGCCCCTGCTGCTGCGGGTGAGCCAGTGGGGAGCAAATGCCAGAGTGTTCAGGCTGCAGCATCCCAGGGAAAGCAAAACTCTGTATAACAGTGGCTTTTCTTTGCTGGGGAAGCCCTTCCCAGTGTCTTGATCCCGCATTATCTGCAGCTTTGCCGCATTTCCCCTCTTCTTCCCTGCATGTATGCCTTCAGATGCTCTCTTCTTACTAATGCCTAATTAAGTTGGTGGGACGGTTTGGCCTGATTGATAGCATAGTTATGGATAATGTTACGCAAATTGACTTGAAGACCTATGAACCCCCAAATAGACAAGCACCACTGGCTTCTGCCCATGCTTAGCTGCCTGCAGCCATTCCAGCCAAATAGCAGCAAATAGCATGTGGGAGCTTTAAAGAAAATGTTCTTTAAAAAAAAACTAAGAATCATCTATTCCCCCAAGTAGAAAATTCTTTATACCATAAAGATGTCTTGACATCTCAGTGCAACAAAGCACTTATGCCAGATAGCTGAGATATTTAGTGTGAAGCATAGTCACCATCTGAAAGAAAAAAACACTTATAGAGGACATTTCAGCTCACCTAAGGTCCACTCTAAAGTTTGGGTTGGAAAAATACCCACCCCTCCCATGACAGTGTGATCACAGCTGAAAGGCGCCCTGACCTCAAAGTCTGAACAAGCGAGTCTTTGTCTCACCTCCTGATTATGCTTTGGGAGTTTTCTCTGTTTATTATTCATCTGACTGCTGTCTTTTTTAACGCTTTAATGCACCCCCGTCCCCTCTGTGCCAGAGACCGGAATGCCCAACCCAAGACACGCACCAGAGAGGTCAGAGCTTCATCTGGCCCCATGGCCCTGCCAGTTAGGGCTGTGGCTGGGTGGCTGAGTCCTGTCTAACTCGTCTCACCTCCAGATCAGCTGCTGGGAGTGGTCCCACTGAGCTGGAGTTTTGATGGACATGTTCACGGCAGGCCATTAGAGGAAAATGAGGGGTAATATGTAAACACCTGGGAGGAAAAACAGCCCTTTGCCTTAATGATAGTTTGTCATGTCATATGTTTCTAAAATTGAGAAATAGTGGTAGCCTAACCATTAATTTGCATTGCTTTAATTCATATTTTGAATACCAGACAATGACTTAAATGCCACTTGATTTAACCCACATATTCTCACTCATTTCTACAAAAATCCCCATGCAAAAGGCACACTGTGCTACCAAAAGCAGACACTCTGAGTGCACAATGGCTTCTTCCACTCCTTAATACCAATACCAATACCAATACCAATACCAATACCTGCACTGGTTCCAAGCCATCCTTCAGAGCCCCTCCAAGTGCTTTACACGCTGGCCCAAGCGTTATTGGTATTACTTAATAAAAGAATAAACACCCGCCCAGGCACAGAGTCCTCTCTTGCACAAATGGTCCCTGGGATCTGGTGCAAGTGCCTGGGTTTCAGGGCTGCATGTGGGGCCAGAGCTAAGTGTGGATGCGCACTTGTGTTATGCTGCCATGAACTGCACAAGCCCAGCCTGGGTCCTGATCCGACTGGAAAATAGCCTTTTTCTTCTGGTTTATCTCCCCAGATCTCTCATCCCTAGCCCCTTTTGACTCTGGCACTACTGGGTTTGCATTAGGCACATCCCTGGCCCTTGCTGCCCAGCTCCATTCTTCTCTTACAGCATCACCCCCTTGACAGCAACTGAAAATGAGATTTTTTCTCTCTCTTAAGTCTTTTCCGGCACGTCCCACTGCTCTGTAAATATAGGCTGAAGTGCAGCCGAGTGTGGGATGCTTGAAGTAGCATGCAAAGCAGCTGTATTGCTGGCAATGTGCAGGTGGCCCAAGCAGCATAGCGTGAGTATCCCTTGTTTGTGGTCTGCTGGGATACTCACAGGACTGGCTGAGGGAGGGGTGGGAAAGCTGGGAGAATTCAACTGGACAGTGGGGAGAGCTTGTTATGGCTCTAGAAGATTTCCAAAGGTGGATTTTCATTTTTGTGTGATGCCCAGAAGCCCCATCCCAAGTGCAAAGGCCACCCCTGGTGTTCCTGCATCCCCAGTCAGAGCCCCATGGTGTGCATGCAACACCACAGGGCAACAACAGAAGCCATCCCCCACCTTCTCCATGTCATCAGGGTTTGCACTATTCCTCTGAAGGCAACAACTGAGCTCAGGCCAAGGAGCAAACCCATGGCTGCAGCAGCACGTTGGGCCTGGAGAGAGCCAGTGCCAAACCCACAGCCCCGGTTCCACCAGGCTGCCGGTGAGACACAGGCTGTAATTACTGCCTGCCTGCCAGGGTTTCTTCGCCCCCACTGCCCTACCCCGGAGGAACTGAGCAGCTGCCAGCAATTAAAAGTAGTTAGCAGTTCCCATGCTATTTTAACCATTTATAGGCAGCAGTGGTAGCTCCTTCTCTCCTAGTGAAAGGGAGAAGTTCATGCTGTCACCCAGCACTTTGCAGCCCTGCTTGTGTGGATGCTGCTGTAGGAGAAGTAGCGCTGTGGCGTGGTGTGGTGCAACTTTGCTGAACTTGGGATTGTTCCAAAAGAGCACAGCTGAGCCCTTTTGCCCCCCTAAAGCAAGCAGGGAGGCAAAGTGGGGTTTAAATCCAGCCTGAGGGGAGACTTGCCCATCAGGAAAACTGCAGTCCCACTACTCGCAGCTTGCAAACTTGTAACTTCGTTTTCTGTTCTTTCCAAGAAGAAAGGTGTAGTTATTGATGAGTAGATACGGGATACCTTCCCCAGTGGGTGGATTACATCTTTTTATTATTTTTGTCTATATGTGTGTCTTGAGTTCTTTTATGCTCCTGCGGGTGTATTCTACAGCCGGTTCTTGGGAGGGAATGTAATAGCCCATTACATGATCCTACAGCAGTCACATCGTTAGCAGCATCGTTAGACACATTTCTTCACGCGTTGAAGTGTTTTTGTCGGCGTGCTTCTTCCCCTCGGCGGGCACAGTGAGAAAGCCACGCCGGGTCCCGGAGTCCCGCTGAGGCACGGGGAGCAGAGCGCGTTGCGGGGCTCCCCCTTGTGCCCGCACGTCCCCACTGCAGAGCTCCGTAAACTCTTGTTTAACGTGGTTTTTCATCCGTGCCTCGCAGCTCCATTCCCTTCTTAGCTTTGTGCCCCCCGTCTCCGGCCGCACGGGATGGGGGCAGGAGGTGGTGGTGATGGTGATGACGATGGGGGTGGCTGAGGCCGGCAGCAGCTCATCGCAGGCATGGGGAAGGGGGGGCTGCACCGCCCCCATCCTGCCCCGCCCCGCCCCGCCGGTCCGCGCCCGCTCCGCTCCGCCCCGCTCGGCGCCGGGCAGCCCGGCAGTGTGGCGAGGCGGGCGGGCAGGCACCGCCGCTCCGCTCCGCTTCGCTCGGCTCGGTTCGGCCCCCGGCCCCGCCGCCATGCCGCCGCCCGGCCCGCGCCGCCCCGCCGCGCTTCTCATTCTGCTGCTGCTGCTCCGCCGGGCGCTGGCCGCCGCAGGTAAGGGGGATCGGGGAGCAGCAGAAGTTTATTGAGGAGGGGGAGAGGCGGTGGGCAGCGTCCCAGAAAAAGGTTCAGTGCGGCTTAGCCCTTCATAGGGGCAGCTCGGGAGCGGGAATCCAGCCTGGGGACATTTATTTCATTTATTCTGTTTTCTTTAATCTAAAGGTTGACGGATGCGCAGGGGAGCGCAGATTTGAGCGGAGGGAGCTCAGCCGCCCTCCGCTCCGGGGGATGCTCCGGGGGAATGCTGGCTGGCAGCTTCGCTCCCGGCCCGCGCCCGCAGCGCCGCTTGCTTTTTATTATGATGATGATTATTATTATTATTTTCTTGGGAAAAACAAAACAAACGCAGCCCTGTTTGCAGTATCGCCGCCTATGATTCCCCCGGCGGGCCAAATAAGTAATTATTTCGTCTGGATATGTTTTTTGGTTTTGTTGGCTTTTTTTTTTTTTTTTTTTTTTAATGTGCCCTTTTATAAACAGAGCTATTGATGGCCGGGCAGCTAAGTGGTCTTTTCCTATGGCTCTTCAAAGTTTCCTGTGCGCAACCCAATCTTGTGATTGAGATGCACTTAAATCCAGCCCTTCCGTTGGTAATCCCTGCCACAGACAATAAACAGAGGCACGTCTCTCCTGCTGCCCTCTCTCGTTAGGACTCCTGTGATCAAATTCAGCCTTTCTACTGTATTTCCCACCCACCCTCCAACTCATGGGTAACCTCTGCTTCTCAGGACTTTGTCATCCTCCGGCGGTGGCAAACCAAAGGTGCTGGTGTTTATCCTCCAGGTATAAAAAGATGTCCTTAAGTATAGAGTCCTATAAAGTTTGATGGCTTTTAGGGACTGGAAGAGACATAGCTGTAACTGTTAGGGCTTCGGTGATGGGCAAGGTCGTTATCCCCGTAGGAACTCTGGAGGACAGCCGATTGCTCGCTTCCCGCAGCTTCTGGCAAGGGGCTGAGGATGCGTTGCGAAGCTGCGCGCGGCACAGATTGGTCTTGTTAGTAGTTAAAAGTATCTCCTGACAAGCTGATTTTCTAGGAAAATGAACCAAGCCTTCTTTTCTGAAGCGCAATTAAGGTGATGAGGAATTTTGGGGAAGGAATTTAATTAGATTAATACTTTTTTCCGCCTCCGCCACACAAAGATCTAATGTTTTTCTGGAAATGGAAAACAGAAATGGCACTATTGAGTTATTCAGTGGCCTGGACGTTGCTGCAGCAGCATCCTTCAGCCAGAAGGAACTCTCCTTTGCTGGAAAGGGGGAGGTTCAAGAGCTGACAACTGGTGTCTGGCTCTGCCAGGGCAGTGCCGTGTTGTAGAGGGGTGAGCATCAAGGGAACAGAGGCTCAGCATGGCATGGGATGCTGTACGTGGCAGGGGGTTGGGAAGGCTGGACTAGCCAGGCTGCTGCGGGCCAGGGTTTGGCTGTGGCCAAGGCAGCCTGGAGCTCCTGGGGATGCTGGGGGGAGGCATGTCAGCTGGGTTGGTGGTGCAGGACCCCCGTGACTGCTGTGTCCCATGCCATGCTCTTTATTTTTGCATGCACCAAGTTCATGCAGGGGTTGAATTAAAACTGGCAGGATTGAGGGAGTGAAGAAGAAAAAAAACAAGTTAAACCTGACCAAGCTGGATCAGTTTGAGTCTGGGGAGCTTTCTGAAGGCACACTGCTAATCTGGCATATGTAAACATATATAAAGTTTTTAGCTTTAGAGCTATAATTAGTGCTTCTCCAGGAGTGTTGCATAGAGATTGCATGTAATGATGCAGAGGAGAGAGCAGAGATGGGTGCTCAGCCCTGGTGATAATGCCTTCCCTTCCCCACCCTTGCCTGGTTTTAAAGAGAGAGAGGGAGGCATCACCCAGAAAATAATTTTCTCTTTTAATAACAGAGATGGTACATACTGTGTTGGGTTTTGCAATGAGGGGCACGGGCAGAAGCGTTGTTTTGGATTGAGGTTTGAAACCCAGAAGCAGTCATCCCACTCATCCCAGGGCAGGTGCTGTGCTTTGGGGGAAACCCCAGCTCCCACCCACATCCCTGCCTCCCAGTTCTAGAGCTTTGCCTGCCTTGCTGCTCACCATGTTTCATTCTGCTCGTGTGTGCTACCCTCCATAGCAAAACAACTTGATGCAAGGATTTTTGAGCTTGCTTGAGAGCCTTTCCCGACAAAGCTGACTGCACAGAGGTTGCAGAAGTGCTGCTGAAATCAAAGGGTTATAATGGTGGGGGGCTTGGCTGACAAGGGCACTTGCAGGTACTGTGACACTGCCATCCTGGTGAAGTACTGTTCTATCCCTCTGCTGTACCACCTGTATCAGGGAAACACCTGGGGAGGGAGGGAGGGAGCAGGATATTGGCACTGCTGTCCCCCACTGGCATGGGTCTTGGGCTCCTGCACATCAGTGGCAGGAGGCTGCCTGCCTGCTACTGTCATTGTGAGCAGATAACAGGGGGGAGAGACATGCTCTGAGACCTGTTGCTCATCAGCAAAGCCTGCCGTTGCAGGAGGTGGAGGCTTGCTCACTTGAGGGCAGCGGTGTGTGTGTAAGAATCTGCTCCAGCTTTTTGTCTCCTTCTCCTTCAGCTTCTTGGTTTTGGAGCCCTCTGTTTTAGGAGGGGGTGCTCTCTGTGCATGATAGTGCAAGAGTGAAATAATAGAACAACAACTAACACCCCCCCCCCCCCCCCCAAACAGAAAGAAATGCAAAAATACTACTTTAAAACTTTAAAGAGGGCAGAATCTCCTGGGAGTGGTAGTTGGAGGGTAGGGGAGAAATCTAGACTGCATTTTCTCTGCTTAGAAATCAGAAGTGCACCACTACTGACCTAGTAAGCAGCTTGGAGGGTCCAGCTGTGTCCTTTATCTCCTCTCCTCTATAAGGTCCCGTGGGTCCTTTTGATGCTATGTACACTGGATCCCTTTCTGTCCCTGTCCTAGCTGTACAGGAATAATAATAAATTATATTTTGGATCAGTTAAGTGAGCCAAGATGATGCAAGGAATTAGGGTTTGCTTCCATTCTAGCAGCAGTGCTTTCAAGCCCTCAACCCTGTGGTCTTCTCCCTCCCAGCGTGTTTGGGGCCGCAGCTATCAGCCTACCAGCCCTGTAGGTTATGGGGAGAATCCATGAGCTAGGCTGTGCTAGGGAAAAGCCAGGCTTGCAGGCTGGTGCCAGAGAGGCGGCAGGAAATGCTGGGCTGCGAGGTGAAGACGGAAGGGGCTGTATGAAGTCTGCGAGGAGTTCATTACAGCAGATGTTGGTGCCATAAAGCCACAGGTTCCTGCTGTTTCCTATTCACTTATATCCTCCCAGCTTTAGCAATGATAATGCGAGTGAAAACATTTGCTGGAGCGAGGGGGAGGTTGGGAAAGCATAAATCACCAGCCCATTCCCTCTGCTCTTTCCTGCTATCCCACCCGCATGTCTTGCCTTGGGAAGTGGGGAGATTAATATGGGTGCAACGGATGCCTAAGCCGCTCGCTGGCTGCCATCAGCTCCACTGTTGCATTTAAAGGCCCACTGCTCTGATCATGTTTTACTTTAATACGTAGAACTGTAATTTGCTGTAATCAGTAGTATTGTGCAAGCCACCCCTGCTTGTGAGTCAGAGCACGGCAGTACCGAGCTGATACAGCCCTGGCCCTTTGGATGCTGGTTTGGGGGGAAAGAGTAGAGTGTGCATCTGTGTCTGGTGGCATGAAGACTCGTTCTTCTTGGAGTGATCCTTCCCTGGCTCTGCCAGAGCTGAGGACCTGAGGATAATGTTATGCGAGATGCTTTCCTCCTGATACAGAGCCTTTGTGGTGCACCAGGAGTGCTGAACTGGTAGCTCTTGAGTGATGTGGCTCCTCACAACAGGCTGGGGCACTGGAAAAAATCCTGCATGATCTGCAGTGGGGTTGCACTGGGGCTGGGAAATACAGAGCTTTGACTTGGGAGAGGCAGAAAGCCCCATAAAGCTGCTCTGATGCCTGGTTTCTCTCCCGCCCTCTGAGGGACCTCTCTTGGTGGGAGCCTAGAGGCCCCTAGCTGAATGCAGCACCCTCCCTAACACTCCCTAAATCTCCGTCTCTCTGTCCCCGCAGCCCTGCAGGCTTGGCTGACGCTTGACTTTTTACTGTTGAGGCAGCTTGGGAGTGTGGGTTTTCTTTTAGCTTCACGCTGGGTCCCAGCACGGAGGGTGACGATGTTCTTGAGGGTCCCAGCTGGGTTTTAGTTTAAATCGGTTTTGGCCCCTTTGGGGGGCAAAGCGCTAAAACCAGGGGCTGCAGGGGAGCCAGAAGGCAAGCGAAGCATCCCGGCTACACAGAGTATTATTTTTGAAGCCTCCTGGTTTTTCGGAGGCCTGACTCACGACGCAGGAATGCGCTGGGCTGGCAGCCCCGGACCTGCTCCTCGGCGAATTGAAGAGTTGCCTCTCCTCCTCCAGAACCCGTTCCGCCGTCCCTCTCCTCCCAAACCGCTGGGCTGGGCTGGTAGCAGCCGCATGTTTGCTGAGCTTGGATTTTTAGGGGACTTTTTCCTCTTTCCCCTTGCTATTTGCTTCTTCACATAGGGGCTGCTTCTTTTTTTTTTTTCCTTTTCTGATGGGGCTGGGGCAGCTTGGCGGGCCGTAGCAGAGCACCTCTGGGTTGCTTTGGCTGCTTGGAGGTGAGAGAAAGGCAGAGCGAGCACCGAGATCAAACAGGAGCCAGGCTGGGAAAGGCTGGGCAAAGCCACGCTGGAAAACGAGGAAAGGGAAGGGAAGCAGGAATCATTTAGCACGGGGCTTGCTCCAGCGTGTCCTGCACACTGCCTTTAATCTCCTGCGGGTCCCTCCCCACAGCAGCCCGGCACAGCCCCGTTCGGCTCTCCTCAGCCCCCTGCTGCCTTCGGTGGCTTCTCCCAAACCTGCTGCTTGGCTCAGTTATTGGGAGGGCTGATCCTCACTGCAGCGGCCCCCCCCCCGGACCCACATGGGTGTGTTACATCTGGGTTAGGTTTGTAGTGGAA